AAGTGTCTTTGAAAAATCGTTGTGACTATTTTGGTCAACTTTGAGACAATACTGCTCCCAAACTAAGACTGATAATCGCACTCCGTAACAAAGGCATGCTAAAGGAAGGTCCAAAGACCAATTGCCCGTTGAGGGAGCAAAATGCCCGCCTCGGATCAGACGCAGTGGCTGCTTAAAATCGGCCCAAAACACGATTTTTCATAGACATTTCTGAGCGTTTCGGCCAACTTTGAGACAATACTGCTCCCAAACTAAGACTGATAATTGCACTCCGTAACAAAGGCATGCTAAAGGAAGGTCCAAAGACCGATTGCCCGTTGAGGGAGCAAAATGCCCGCCTCGGATCAGACGCAGTGGCTGCTTAAAATCGGCCCAAAACACGATTTTTCATAGACATTTCTGAGCGTTTCGGCCAACTTTGAGACAATACTGCTCCCAAACTAAGACTGATAATTGCACTCCGTAACAAAGGCATGCTAAAGGAAGGTCCAAAGACCGATTGCCCGTTGAGGGAGCAAAATGCCCGCCTCGGATCAGACGCAGTGGCTGCTTAAAATCGGCCTAAAACACGACCCCAGCATCGCCGCGACCCCTTAAAAAAATTTCACGACCCCGCTTGGGGTCGCGACCCTAAGGTTGAGAACCACTGGGCTGGGCGGCATCGGCCGCCGATTCGCGCTGTCGGCGGGGTGCCGCCGTGCCGCCACCTGCAGGCTGCTACATAGCCCACTACAGCCCACTACAGCCCACTACATAGCCGCCGCCACCACGCCTCGCCGCCACGCCCCGCACCAATTTCTTCCTGGCTATCGCAACGCCGCTGCCGCTCTGCCGCGCTCTGCCGCCGCCACGTCGTCCAACCCGACCCGGCCCGCCCTACTCGACCTCTCGGAGGGAGTCGACGGGGACCCTGCGACCTGCGAGGGCGGTCCCTCGGCCCCATCTGGGTCGACGGCGGGGTCACGTCGCGGCCCGGGGGCAGGGCGACGGCGACACGGCGGCAGTGCTGCTGCACCCGCAACCGCACATCTCCATTTTTGCCAATCGCCAATTGTTGTCGGCCGAGGGCGAGATTGCCAGTCAGCAGGTTGATTCCGCTCCGTCTCTCTCGCACTCCCTGCGGGACTCCCCACGCGCGCGAGAGAGACAGAGCGCCGCGCCCGGACGAGCCATTGATGGCCCAGCGGGCGTTGCCGCGCTGCCGGCGCCGTCCGGGGCGACAAACGAGGCGCCCGTCTTCCGTGTTAAGCACGCCGATGATCCGTGGTAATCAGACCGCGCCTCGGAATTGGCGCGCCTCGCCCGGCGCCGCCATCGCCGCAACGAGACCTTCCCACTCCACTTCGGTTCAAGTGGGGGGGGGGGGGGGCATTGGGCCATCGGAATCACTAATTAGGACGAGCCGCACGGGCCGCAGCGGCCGGAGCGGCCGGAGGCTCGGTCGGGGAGGTCAGGGGGCGTCGCGGGTGAGTGGACGGGCAACGAGGATTGCTTCCAGTTGGCTGCCTGGGGTTCAGAGTCGATACAAATAAAGTGGAGACTTGAGGTAGGTACCTGGCAGCATGTCCAGGTTCTGTTTCGATTGAACATTTCAATGGAGCCTCGCCAGAAAATAATGTTTTAACAGTGCTTCGCTTATCCGGATCGGATACGATCAGTACAGTACGAAGTACAGTACAAGCAGTACGAAATTTGTGTCTCTCTGTTGAGCTCTTTACTTGGACGTGGTTGCTTTTCGGGTCATGTGCAGGCACGAGCGCGCCGAGGGACTCGTGGGAGGGTGTGATCTCGGGAATCTCCGCGGCGTCGCTGGGCGTCGCTGGGCGTCGCGTCGCGGCACCGGCACGATGGTGGCACGAGCGCGGCAGCGTGGCGGGCTGTACCTTTCACTCCGCGCGGCCGTCCCGCCCCATCTCGGCCTGGGGCAGCCCGGGTAAAGCCTGGGGCCGTTTGACGCAAACCACTCATGGGCGTTGTACGCCGCCACCGCGACCCGCCTCGTGCCGTGCCGCGCCGTGCCGAACCGCCAAAGGCCCGCAGCACTGCAGCCCAACCTCACCTCAACCAACCACCTACTCTACCAAACCAACCACCCACTCTATCCTCAGCCAAGCAAGACAACCGAGCTGATTCCAAGAGGGTCCCTTTCGGGCTTCATGGGAGTGTGTGTGTGTGTGTGTGTGTGTGTGTGTGAGAGAGAGAGAGAGAGAGAGAGAGAGAGAGAGAGAGAGAGAGAGAGAGAGAGACAGACAGAGACAGACAGAGACCTCCGACCCAGTGTGCAGTCTGGGCGCGCGCCACGTGTCACTGCCGATAATGGCTGCTCGGCGCGGTGGCGGCCGGGCCGGCTGCAACGCTATAACGCCGTAGCCGCGTCGAGTGAGACGTTGTTGTTGGCGGCGCTCGCGTCTCGCGTGCGGAGTGCGGAGCGCGGAGCGCGGACAGTAGTCATTAAGCCGGACGGCCGCCTGGCCGGGACGGGCCGGGACGGGCCGGGACGCGCCCCATCCCCATCCATCTGCACGGTCGGGACGGCCTGACCGCGAGGACGTGAGGCGGGGCGAGGCGGGGCGAGGCAGGGCGGCGAAAGCACACACTGCAGTCTGCAGTCCCGGAGGCCTTCACGGAGGGCACCTCTCAGCCCGATTCCGAAGACTCGTTTCGACGCTCTGTCTCTGTTGCACTCACGGGGCGTGCCGTTCGGGTGCGAGAGAGACAGAGCGACGAAACGATTGGCGGTCCTGGCGGCCCTGACTGAGAGGCGCCACGCCATTCGCAGCAGGCTGCCCGTTATCGCTCCTTATGAGACCAGTTTTATTCCTCTACCGGGACACGCGGGATGAGCGCAATTTTCCGGAACAGGGTCGGCAGATAATCCAATCAAACGTGGACACGCGTGTGTAATACCACCCAGTGACCACGCACGCACACACGCGCACATCGCACACACACGCGTGCGCACCGCTTATAGGCTCTGGGGCCACTTTCCCCACTTACAGCCGCGTTGGCGCTGTCCTGCATATGCTCGCTGGCTGCCTGCACTGCCTGCCGCGGCTGGCCGCCAGCCATCCAATCCTATCCTGTCCCATCCCATCGGATCCAGCAGCAGCGCCGCGCTGCCTGCCGACAGGGACGTCCGACGGGGACGTCCGACGGGGACGTCCGACGGGGACGTCCGACGGGGACGTCCGACGGGGACGTCCGACGGGGACGTCCGACGGGGACGTCCGACGGGGACGTCCGACGGGGACGTCCGACGGGGACGTCCGACGGGGACGTCCGACGGGGACGTCCGACGGGGACGTCCGACGGGGACGTCCGACGGGGACGTCCGACGGGGACGTCCGACGGGGACGTCCGACGGGGGCGTCCGACGGGGACCTCCGACGGGGACGTCCGACGGGGACGTCCGACGGGGACGTCCGACGGGGACGTCCGACGGGGACGTCCGACGGGGACGTCCGACGGGGACCTCCGACGGGGACGTCCGACGGGGACCTCCGACGGGGACGTCCGACGGGGACCTCCGACGGGGACCTCCGACGGGGACGTCCGACGGGGACCTCCGACGGGGACGTCCGACGGGGACGTCCGACGGGGACGTCCGACGGGGACCTCCGACGGGGACCTCCGACGGGGACCTCCGACGGGGACCTCCGACGGGGACGTCCGACGGGGACCTCCGGCGGGGACCTCCGCTTCCCTCAACATTCCCCTGGCAACCCTCGGCGTTGAGGCCGAGGGACCTTCCGTGTCACAGAGAGGGTCCCTAAGGCCGCGGTGCGGCAGGGCGGCAGCGCGATCCACTGGGAGGACATGGAGGGCGTGAGGCGTGAGGCCTGCCATGGCCTGCCAGGCGAGGCCACAGGGGCCGCACCCCGCAGCACAAGGTCGTGTCGCGTGTCGGCCGCTTGGCCGGCCGCGCCTGACGCACGCGTCGCGCGTCCGACCGCCTTGCAGTGTGCAGTGCAGCCTGTGCAGCCACCGCACTGGGGGACGTCGGGGAGCTCCACCATCTGCCGTCGCCGTCGGTCCCCGTTTGGAGTGGGCTCGGAAGCGAGCCGCGCCCCGATCGCAACGACGTGGTTGGTCACTTTCGCCGTGGCTAATGGAAAATCGGGATCGACCGGCCGACCGACTGGGCGGTGACGCGGCGACGCGGTAATCAGCATTTTTCGGCCGTTCGGCACCGTCCGGCCATTCATTCGATTCATTCCGTTCCCCGGCCGGATGGGACGGACGACCGACCCGGCCGGCTCGTCGCGCTGTCTCTCTCGCACTCATGAGCCGCTCCGCAGGGCCGCAGGGGTGCGAGAGAGACAGCGCCGTTTGGAATCGCTCTGCGGGAACAGGGAGGATGGCGTCTCGTCGTCGGGTCGGCGGTGAGGCGTCGCGGCGATGGGGCGTCGCGGCGCCCGGACCGACACTGCTTTCTCGGGACGCCTCGCTCGCCGCGCCGCGACGCCATGGCGACGCCCCCGAACGGCAATCAACCGACCCAATCAACCGGCAGGCCGGCAGGTTGACGAGGAAACCGTGGCGTAACAAGCTGCCAAAGCAGCCTAGCCTGCGCCGTGCCCGCGCCTAGCACGGCCGCAGACGGCTGTTTGGCTCTGCGCCCTCAGCAGCCTCATCTCATGAGACGTCTCGAATAGGTGCGAGAGCGACAGAACGACGGAAACGACTCTCGGAATCGGTGTGCTGCCACTGTCATGCACTCTCCTCCAGCCTCCACGCCAGCAAACGGGAGGGAAGGAGGGAAGTCTCCGCCGCGTAGGTAGGCAACCCAGTCTACAGGCGCGCGGGATGGTGGCTGGCCTGCCTGCCCACGACTAGCTCGTGCTATGGTGTTTGTGTTCAAATTTCGAACTTCAAAACCTTCAAAACTGTATTTTGTCTTGATTTTCTCAAGTTGAATACTAAGAAAGAACACGCAAAGAGCAAAGCCTTTCTGTTAAAGTTGGTATGTTGGTCAAACTGGTCACTGCCTTCCCGAAAAGTTGTCGCGTTTTCTTCTTCCTTCGTCTGCTAGGAGACGTCATAACCTTCAAAATCTTTAGCCCAGTAGTGTCTTAAGTTTCGTTTGATAACACGCAGCAAAATGGGAGGTGACCACCATCACCACGGACCCCCTTACAAAGTTCCCGACTACCGCATCTACAAGGTGGATGCGAACTCTCCGGAGCTGCTCCATATCCAAAATGTTTTGAAGAGTGTTGGATTGAAGGATCCCTGGATGAGGTTAGTGATATTCTTTTCGAGTGTTACTTCTTCTTCTTTGGTGCAATAACATTTTGGCATTCATGCCCGATGAACCCTCAAATATTTTTATACTTTATCTGGCTATTCCTACTTTCTCAAGCCATCTGTGCTTTGTTGACTAAAACAACTCTCCTGTTCATTTGAGGCCTATTTAATGGTACTTTCTTTACAATGACGTGCTTTTTTGTTTTCAGGAATGAAGTCTGGAGGTACCACCGTGATATCATCGGCCCCCAAAACTGGTCGACGAGATGGGGAAGATTGTTCTTCCGCAAGTTCCCCTTGGGGCTAGCACTTGGTATTGCAACAGCCCTCGGGTTCAAGGGATACGATTCCTACGTTGGCGATGGTCATGACGACCATGGCCACGGTGGTCACCACTGATCTAGGTTGGTTTTATTGACGATGTGAATCTTTTGTGTAGATGCATGGGCTGTAGGCAAACTGTAAATATATGTTCAATTTTTGATCCAGCCATCTTACTTTGTTTCCAAAACAGAACAGCCCTGATTGCAAACAGTTTTCACTTGTGGAGTTGTTTGTTTGATATTGTGAAATGTTAATGTGAATAATTATTAGTTAAGAAATTCTTCAATATTGTATCTTTATTTTTCAACCATTCCATTTGCATTTAAAAGTATTCAGTCTAATGACCACCTTGATCACCAAATATTCTCTCAATTTCCTCATTGAATGGGTTGATAGGACCAATTGACTCAGGGGCAGTCAGTTTGATATTCTTCCATAGTACATCAGCAATAATAGGTTGAGCAATCTGGAATACAGAAAATGACGTTTTCCAGCCCTGACTTCTTTTTCATTGGGTAGGAATCAACTTGATTTAATCCTATCCTACCTGATCTGGATGAAATCCATCCACTGCCTCAAACAGTTGCCAAATTTTGCCACCTTTGGCCGTCCATCTCTGTATCACTTCGCTCAGAGGATTTGGAACAAAGCTCACTGATATTTTCTTTGAAACATAGCTTGATGCTATATATTTCATCATGTGTGTCAACTCCAATGCTCGCTTAGGAATAAAAATTGTTATAATTAGGGCAACTAATGAACTCCATTATCAATTGATTGGACAAACTTTTTACATTCTGTGTAGTTGCTCAAACCTTGGTTGTGGCATCTCTTAAATCCTTCTGATCACTTAGCCATCCTCTGCAAGGAGTAATTTGCATGCATTCAAACCACTTGAACACATCCTTGTACTTCACATCACCATGATATTCTCCTGAAAATTAACTTTTTTGCATTACGCTGGAAAAGGCTGCCCATATCTCCATTTAGTATTTACAGAGTTGAAAAATCACCTAGGGGATGAAGTCGTTCTGCAAGTGTGTCATAAATAAAACTGCCATTTACAAGACCAAGGAGTATTATGTGACTCTCCGGTGGGAGGGAAGATTCCAGAGTATCAATGATCCCTTTGATGTTTTTATAAAATTGTTTGGCTGAAGTCATGTTTGACAAAGTATTTGGAAATCTTAAAGATTTAAAGGAACATGAGTGTGAAATATTATTTAATTTAATGCAAATTCAAATCATAATGTATCAACAGACATACCTGTTGCAGACATCATTTCCAAAAACTCCAAGAAGGATTGTAAGAGGTTTGTCTTCTGCACCCCTTGCAATGTTTCCAACATAATTTACCAAGTCAAAGCTTGTGGCTCCATTCCGACAAACATTCTGGTAATCTCTGTGATTGCATAAGTTTCTTTTCCTCATTCGCAGGTAAACAGAATCAACTTGTCCCTTCAAACAAAACATTTGCCTTTACTAAAAAGTTAGCATTTACTTATTTTGAGGAAAAAGTAGAGGAATACCTGTATCAACCCAGGATCAGTTACATTTTTGAAGCCAGTTGAGAAACTATATTGAGGCCAGTCCAACTCATCTAGTAGGACACGTGTGGCATTCCTAAAAAATGTATCCTGCAAAGAAACAAAATTTACTTTTTCTTTCCCCTTTTCCAAAAAAAAAAAAAAAAAAATAATTATTATTGTATGTATTATTTACTTACTTTTGAAATCAACTTGGGACTGAACCAAACCAGTGGAAAGTGAAAGTGTGCCCCTACAGAGTCTCCAAACATTAGAATACCACGTGATTTACTAGAGCCACATAATTTTGTTTCCCATGGAATTCCTGTTTCTTTATCAAGACCCCAAATGCCATTGCAATTCCCATCATAATTAACATCAGCATAGTGTGGAAGATGGCCAGGGTATATTTTGGGATTCAAATCTGAACAGTCTTTTCCACGCCAATTTGATCCTCTCCATGTCTGTCAGAAAAGAATTAAATTACTTCTAAAGAAAGTGACCACAAAATGTTCTTGTCATTTATGTGTAAAAATTTTTGAGAACTTACCTCTAAAGAACTAAATTTGTCATGATCCAAATCAAAAGCAGGTGCCATGGTAGAAAAAGTTTTGGCTATATAAATGCAAAACTCTTTAAGGCCCGGTATCTCACATAGACTGTGGGTTCCTTTGTGATTTGGTCCATACCACTTGTCATAAAGAGGCTTCACCTTCTCCTTTGCGAACCAAATCAAAAATCAATTCATACGCAACATTCTTCAGTTTCTAAATCTATAATAAGTAGACAGACCACATACCCTAACAGTTTTAATACCACTTTTAAATGTATTCTGTGTTGGAGCTGGGAACAAATGACAAACTTCTTCACCCGGATCTTGATGACATATGTCCAATCCATAGCAGATTGTATCTGCAGTTATTCCTTCCAGTTCAACTCTTAAAAAGAGAAATTGGATAGCTTGAATGAAGAGTAGCCACAACGTCTACTGATCGATAAATCTAGACGTAAATAGATACTCACATCAAATAAAGAAGAGGTTCCAAGGTTTGGATAGCTTCACGGCACACATTTTCAGCTGATGGCCAAAGTAAATGATCGCAAATACGTAATGTTATGTTAGAAACACTTGCATTGTTGATTTCAGCCACTTGACCAAATATTCCAGTAACAATGGTACATGCTGTTAATAAACCACCAGAAAATCATAGCATGTAATAAGAAAACATTTTTGAAATCAAATCAAAGTAAGTTCACAGGAATTTACAAACTTCTACAAACCTGCACATTCAATACCACCATTCACTCCATACGCGCGTACTTCCTGAGCATGAAAAAGTACTAATCCTACGTATAAAAAAGACAGTAGCTTCATTTTCTTGTCATCGACTATTTTGATCATCGGCAGAAAGCCGAGTGTTTACAATCAATATTTGGGTGACAGAATGCAGACGACAACATCAGACGACACAAGAGACTTCTGCCACCCTGCTGCACAGATCGCTTGAAGCGCAAATCACGAAACCGTCATTCTACTTATCGCAAATCACGCTGCATCCAATTCAAGGTTACTCTGACCACAACTGGACTACTTGTAGACCAAACGAACAACAAGGCTTTCTTCTAGTGCCGTCCAGTGTAGCTGCAACGAAAATAATGTGCAGACGTTGGCAGCACTGCATGAGTGCTACACAGACAAAAACAAAACAAAGAAAAGAGTTGGTGGAGTTGTAAAGTTGCCCGAAGGGAGTTTGTGTTCAATCCCACACTGTATTCTTTCATGGTAACTGACCTGCTCCCAAGAAAAATTAGTGAGGAGGATTTAAGGTAAAGTGCATGATTTAAGAATCTTTTTATCGCTGAAAGGCAAAGCTGCAACATGACATCGTCCGGTGTCAACAAGAGGGTTATGTCAACATCCTTCTAACCGGTTGTATGTTGCTTATTTTGTAATTCTAGTGTTTCACTTCTTTCAGTGTCCAAACGTTATCTGCGGTGATCCCTTCATTTTGAATATTATTCTATTTCCCCGTTGCAATTGAAGTACTTAGCTCAAGATGCAGCGAGAAGAGAAGCAACTTGACATGGCACTGGATGCCATTATAATGCGTGTCAATGATCTTAAACAGTCAATCTCAAATATGATTGTTAAATTGGAACTAGAACACGAAACCCTCAATTGGCCAACGTTTTTAGATAACTTTGCCCTTATGTCTGGACAGGTCGGTACTATCTCTCATTTCGTAACAGGTATATCTAATCGATTTATGAATTTGGGCAATGTTGTTACTCATGAATCTCAATTTTCTTTGGACTCAGTTAACGGCACTTACAAAAGTCCTTACACAAGATAAATGTCCGGCCTTGAGAAACTTGGTGGTTCTTCCTATTCAACTTAGTCAAGAAAGAGACCCAGAGCTACTTCGGATCACAGAGCAAAGAGTTCCTCAATTCTCTCATGATTTGGCTCCTGATTACTTGCGTACAAAACTAGAACCTGACGTAGAGCAGAGAATGCTGCAACTTGAAATCAAAGCTGGAAACATGACTTATGAAATGGCACAGGTTTGTTAGTGGCATAAGGCAAATTTCCTACTTTCGTCACAGTATACCTAACTGAGCCCGTCTCCCTCCGCCAAACAGAAACAGGTATCAGCCTTCAATAAAGTCATGAACCATGTTTGGGATGTGGTGAGCAAAGCAAGAGAAGAGTGGGAAAGTGAATCTGGTTCGCGATCAGGCCCTCAACAAACTACATCAATAAGTGATACTCATCTTCTTGTGTCTGCCATCAGTGCAGGAAAGAATTTGAAGATGCCTGTAAGTGATCTATTCCTGACATTTTTCAAATATTATCAGATCCAAATGTGTTCTATGCTTGGATTTCTCTCTTATTCAATGTGTCTCTTCAGGTACCACAAGGGCAAGCAGGTCCTCCAGGCATGATGGGTCCGGGTGGGCGCCCAGGAGTGGGGCCACCAGGTGGTCCAATGATGAATCCTGGTCAACAAAGTAAGTTTACTTCGATTGTTTTCATTGTCTTGTGTCCAAGCAAGTCTTACAATTTTTTCTTTTTCAGTGGGCCCCATGGGTAAAGTGCCCAGTGGAATCAAGACAAATATCAAAGCTGCTTCTCAGATTCATCCATATAACAGATAGGAATTCCCCTTCAATTTTACTTATTGCTTGTGAAATTTGTTAGTTGTTTGTATGTGAAGGGAAAAGGTTTAATTATTGTTCATAAGGAAATTAAATTAGATAGAAAAAAAAAAACGAGTAAGATATATTACTTTATTTATTGTTGGGGACAAATGCATAATTTGAAGCTAGTTCCTCAATAAATGCAGAAGAGCAGGTGAAAATTTGGACTACACTAATCACAATGTGTATTGAACCCTAAATATCCAGGACAAAATTGATTTAATACATACATAAAATAGTGTAAGAGATACCTGTGGAAGATTTAATACTCAGGTACACCACCACACACCAACGGCTTTTGTTAAAATTGATATATATAAGAGGTACAAAGGGTTGTGCCATTGACCCAACTCAGATCCAAAGAATGGCCAAACAATTCAAAATAAAAATCGACAATCTTGTTAAAATGCAAAGCATGAAAAATGCAAGTTTCACCAAGTTACAACTATATGGCATGTTAGGTTTTTAACAAGAGTATCAATCTACTGAATGAGCTAACATCAGAAAAAAGACAAGACAGTTGGGCCAAACAGCTATGAGAAAATGTATAATGTCAGATTTCATGGTTCCACCTTCAACAATTCCACATCGAAGATGAGAGTGGCGTTTGGTGGGATGATGCCAGGATGACCGCGGGCTCCATAGGCGTAGTCAGGTGAGCAAGTGAGGCGAGCTTTCTCACCAACGCAGAGCTGAGCAAAGAATAAAACATTAACACAGAAAATAGTCATTGTCTAACAAAGCCAAAAAACTAAAATCTGGCTGCATACCTGGGCAAAACCCTCATCCCAGCCTTTGATGACCTCTCCCTTGCCCAAGCGGAACTTGAATGGTACTCCCCGATCCCTGGAGGAGTCAAATTTCTGCCCACTTGTGAGAGTACCTGACCAATAAGAAATAATTCTGTAAGTTACCCGAAAAAAGGACAAACATAAAGAGTTTAAAGGGATCACTCAACTCACCTGTGTAGTGGACCACAACTGTCTGCCCGGTCTTGGGGTAGGTCTGGCCTGAAAACAAAGAGACGAAGCATGAACAAGCTCTTTGAATCAAATGCGTTGACAGTTCTCTCCCCCAGAATGGCGATAGGTCCACCGATTTCCTAAAATCCCTCGCCGTGCCAGCCTTGTCCACAGACCTCAGGACCTTGCCAACAACCTGATGGAGACAGGACACTCAGTAGGCCCCAGAACTACGCATAGTCCAAAGCCTCGGTCCGGATGGGATACGCCACGGTTCGCGACTTCGGCCGCGTACTGGCACATAGACCGAGGCTTGCCGGGCCTGCCTAGCCGGGCCGGGCGCCGCTCTTGCACATGCCACTTGAAGGCCAACAAGGCCATGGTCGCGGACGAGCGGCAACGGCGGCACCGGCCGGCGGGAATCCGAGCCGCGGGCCTGGGGCGCTGCGCGGCGCGGCGAAGCGAGTCCTGGAATCCATGATAGAATTCCAAGCCGACGCGTCTTGCCGGCCGCAGCGCGGGGCTTTGCGCTACGCGAGGCCGGTGAATTTCCTGAGGGAGGACTTGGACGGATGGGCCTAGGCCATGGCACAAGTCGAGGCCGGTCAGCGGGCTGTGCCGAGGACTCGACCGCAAGGACATTTGTACATTCCGACACTGACGTGGGGCAGGGCAGGCGCCACAAGGAACCGTGGAAAACAACCAACAAATGATCCCAAAGCAGAAAAATCGATGCGCCCGTCGGCAGACAGGTCCTCAATCATTCCGCCAAAATTTCTTACCATCGCCGGCCCGGGTTGTCTCGATTTCAACGCCCATGGTTGCGAGTTCCGTGAAGTTTAGTTTCGTTGATTAAAAGTTGTCCGGGTTTGGCTCGGCTTGTGCGGAGCGGCGATGGCGACGATGAAGAGTGTGTGATGGAAGTGTGGAGTGGAGTGTCGCTGGTGGTGGGGGCTGAGGGAGGGGGAGCGGCGTGGTGTCGGGAACAATCAATGAGTCCGAAAAGCCCGATCGCTGCAAGAGCCGACCACCGACCGAACGGACTCGAAACCCGCCGACGGCAACTCTGGACATTGCCCCGATTTAGACCACTTCTGTTCGGACAAGAAGTTGCGTTAGTTTGGGATTGGCCGAGCGTTCAAACTGGAACAATTTTGAGAAAAGCAAATAACCGCAAAAACAAATCTTGTCATAGATTAGTCTCGTTTCATTGGCGAACGTCAATATGAATGAGTTGATGTCAGGCGCGGTCCGAATCGTGCCGCCAACGTGGCGTTCGGGTGATTGTCTCTCTCACTCTTAGCGGCGGTCGCCGCATCTCTTCACACAAGTTAGAGGGAGACAGAAAACGTGGCTGTTTCGGAGGGAGGGCACATCGGAGCGCACCCGAACTGCTGTTGCAGCCCAACTTCGTCTGTCCGGTTCTAGTTCGCCACTGTCTCCCCCCCGGTGAGTACGTTGTGTAGTCTGCGCCTCGGAATGCTGTTTCTGGACGAGTGTTTTTATCAGTTCTAATTTGAAGTAACTCTTCCAGGACGACAGAAGCTGCCTATCCGCACAGGGGATGAGAAGGTGAAGTCCCTTGGCCGGATATTTTGGATTTACAGTACAGTAAGTGAACATTTTTTTGGACACGTCAATGGATGGAGGGTGGCAAGATGTTGACACGTAGCTTCGGGATTAGGGCTTGATGTCTGATAATGGGTACGTCGAGTACTCGAGGACAAGCTCCCGCAGACGTATTGGTCATGTTCATTCAGTGACTAGCGGCATTTCTCACCAATTTGCTCTTTTCGTGACATTTTGCTACTAACAGATGGTCTGTCTTCGTTGTATGTTGTTACCGCAAGCAACGTGTCTCGTGACCTATGAACCTCTGAACCTAGTCGGGAATATAAATTAACGCCTCTATAAGTAGTTTCTCTCAATTAACTCATTCTACATTGAAGTGGAACCTCCTGTGTGAGGAGGTAACCCATGACAAATGTTTTCTAGGTTAGGTTAACATGAAAGAGATCCATCATCACCTTGGTTGTCAAAGCCAACTTATTTGTGTGACATTTTATGGGGTGAAAGGGAATTCTCCACTTCCCTTAGTCTATGTTCCTCTGTACAGTCAGGCCTCAGTTCACAAGTTGTCTGCTGTCAATGGTCATCTAAATTTAATCTTGGGTAGTTTTAGAATCATCCGTTCAATTGAACTGTATTTGTCCTAGTTTACTTACAAGAAGTGGTACTGTTTTATCAGTAGAAGAATCAGCATATTCCCGTTCATGGTTGCAAATTTATTTTTAGGACAACAGCTTTACGATAGTGATGTCATGTTGGAGCTTCAGGGGAGTAAAGTCCTTTAAAACTGATCCTAAACAATTTGTTTCAGTGGTACTGTAAGGACTCGGCGTGACCCAGGACCCCGCACCATGGAGCCAACAGTGATGGAAGAGAGCGCGCAATTCGATACCACCAATGATACTCCAAACCCAGCCCCAGCCCCAACCCCAGCTTTCAGCTACGATGATGTTTTCCCTGCCTTGCCGGAGTCCAACAGTGTTGCTGCACCCACCAACAACACTCTTGGGCAATGGGGCAACAAGATGAGGATCAGCACCAGCAACGTTAATCAGGTTTGCCATTCTAAATACAGAGCAAGTCCAAACAGACAACTGTTTTGAAAGGCAGCCTCTAAATGAAACACAATTGCAGGTGTTCCATGTGCCATTTGAAGAACGCCGTGATGCCAGCCATAAATTTGGAGAAGGAGAATCAAACCACAACTGTCTGCATATCATGAAAGAGACCTCAACTGTTATTGAAATTTCAGTTAACAAAGATCAATCCTTGACCTTCCTAGTTCAGGGCAAGCAGCCCAATGTCCTTGAGGCAAGGCGCAGAATCCTTCAGCAATTCCAAACTCAGGTTTGTCTCTTTCGAACAAAAAAAAAAATTGACTCAAAGAAACTTGATTTGATTGCCTCTTTTTCTCTTGGTTACAGGCTCAACAGAAGATCCATATTCCCCAAGACCATCACCGCCTTATTTTGGGCAAAGCTGGGGCTCGCCTGAAGGAATTGGAAAAGGCAACTGCTACTAAAATTACCATTCCTCGCCAGAATGAGGACTCTGATGTGATTACCATTACTGGACCCAAAGAAGGCATTGACAAAGCTGTACATGAAATCAGCATCATTTCAGATGAACATGTGGGTCTCAAATGAAATTTCAGTTATTTTTGTCACATTAGATTTAAGGCTCAAACACATTTTCCTTTTCCAGTCTCGTCAAGCCAATGAGAGGGTGGAGATTCCTAAAATTTACCATCCTTTCATTACTGGAGCCAACAATGAGAAAGTAACTGCTTTGATGGAGGAAACTGGTGTCAAGGTCCACATTCCTCCCCCTTCTGTGATGAAAGACGAAATTTCGATTGCTGGAGAGAAACAGGGTGTGCAGACAGCCAAAGAGCGCATTCTGCAAATTTTTGAAGAAATGGTATGTCTTTCTTTGTAGCCTAAACCTACATCAAATTTACTAAATTTCTCCATTTTAATGCAACCAAAAACAAAATTTACAGAAGAAGAGGTGTGCCACTGTTAGCATTGAAGTTCCCAAGGCCCAGCATAAGTATATCATTGGCCACAAAGGTTCTGCTATCAATGAAATTCTCTCTTTGACCGGTGTTAGTGTGGAAATGCCTCACAATGAATCCACTGCTACTTCCATCACTCTTCGTGGTCCTCATGACAAAATTGGAGCAGGTAAGAAAACTTTCTGATACTTTGTTCTACCCTGCATTCTGCATTACTAATACAGTATATTTTTAAATAACATTAAAATGATAACAATGGTAAATCTTCTTTTCATCTTCAATAATATTCTCTGTGCTCCATACTTTTTAGCTTTGACCATGGTGTATGAAAAAGCCAACAGTGTGGGAACTGAAGTTCTTGATGCTCCTGCATGGTTGCACAAGTACATCATTGGTCGTAAGGGAAGCAAAATTAGGGAACTCACCCAAGATATGCCCAAGGTAAGTGGAGTGCATATGTTACATCTTTGTTATCATCGTTTATGATTTGTGGAACTATTATTGTTCAATGATTGTGTTCAGGTCCATGTTGAATTTGCTGACAAAGACAAAATCAAAATTGAAGGCCCTCCTGAGGAGGTTGCTAAGGTTGCTGAAATCCTGCGCCCTCTTGTGAATGATCTGGTGCGCAATATGGTTTCAACTGAAATCAATGTGGACATCAAATATCACAAACACATCATTGGCAAGGCTGGAGCTAACAGTAAGTGTACTCTCACATTTCCTAAGTCTTACTAAAGTTACAATATTTACATCTTTTTTCTTAACATTTTTAATTCAGTCAACAAAATTAAGGAAGACACTGGCGTCACTATCAATATTTCTGAGAACAGCAATTCCATTCGCATTGAAGGCCTCAAGAAGGGAGTGGATCAGGCTAAACAGGAAATTTTAGAGATGGTTACAAAATTGGAGAATGAAAAAGACAAGGATGTCATTATTGATCACCGTTACTTCAAGAGTTTGATTGGAACTAAAGGCGAAAAGATTCGAGAGCTCAGAGAAAAATTCAGCCAGGTTCAGATTGTGTTCCCCACCCTTGGTGAAAACCGGGATGTTGTTAAAGTTAGGGGACCCAAGAAGGATGTGGATGAATGTTGCAAGTGTCTTACCAAAATGGTGAAGGATTTGAAGGAGAGCAGTTTTGTGCTTGAAGTTCCAATCTACAAGCAGTTCCACAAGTTTATTGTTGGAAAGGCTGGAGCTAACATTCGCAAGGTAGGCCCTCATTAGTTTGTTTTCACTTGATTAACCAAATTAAAAGTTGCTTTATCAATATTTATCTCTTTGAAATATAGATTCGTGATGAGACCCAAACCAAAATTGATCTTCCGGGTGAAAATGATACAAGTGACGTCATTGTCATCACTGGCAAGAAAGAAAATGTTGAGCAAGCACAAGAGCAAATTCAGAAGATCCAAAACGAGCTTGCTAATATCGTAACTGATGAACTCAGCATTCCTCCCAAGTTCTACAAATCTCTGATTGGTGCTGGAGGCAAATTGATTAGCTCAATTATGGAGGACTGTGGAGGTGTCAACATCAAGTTTCCAGCTTCGGACAGCAAAAGTGATAAGGTAGGGAAATATAGAACCAGAGCTTGTTTGATGTTGTACTGTGGGTGGAACTGCTATCTTAAGGCCTTAGATTAAATCCGGACAAAAGTGTTTCTAATCTCTCTACCGTGATTTACTATGCTGCTGGATTGTTTGTAATAGCGTGCTTATAGAAAGCACTTGCTCAGAAATGGGATGGTGAGTTATGGATTGCCGCCGCATACAGCATGCAAGGACCAACTTTCTTACTTTTGCTTAGTCATGTCTGATGCATTTTAGCTCAAATACTGAGTAAAGTTCTGTGTTTTGTTACGTTAGGTGTTATGTTTTCATTCTTTCATGCTTCTCTGTTTTGTTTTTTTCTGTATGTGTGTGTGTTGGAGTTAATTTGAGGCTTCAACAATGGGTAGCACTCTTACATAGAACAAATGCAGCTTTCCAAAATGCATGCTCATGTTTGCCACATTTTTTGTTAATTTTGTTAAGTTGAGTGCAAATTTTAAGGGATATCCTTTTATTTCGAGTTCTGAGTCCAAGTTGCAGCGACATCAGCATCAGGGAGTTGTGGTGACAGCTTTGTAAGAACATGGTGTCTGTTGTGCAACAGGTGGTGATTCGTGGACCAAAGGATGATGTGGAGAAAGCCAAGCAGCAACTTTTGGAGCTCTCCAATGAACGTCAGCTGGCATCTGTCTCTGCTGAAGTACGTGCCAAACCTCAGCACCACAAGTTCCTTATTGGCAAGAACGGTGCCAACATTAAGCGCATTCGTGATTCCACTGGTGCCCGTATCATCTTCCCTACTGATAAGGATGAGGACAAGGAGGTAATGCACTTCCTATTGATTAATTAATTGTTACTTCTGTATGTGGTTATTGGTGTTAAAAATATTCAATATTTTTAGGTGATCACTATTATTGGCAAGAAAGAATCTGTTGAAGCTGCCAAGACTGATTTGGAGACTGTTATTAAGGAAATTGCTAACACAACTGAGAGCACCATGACTGTTGATCCTAAACACCATCGTCACTTTGTTACTCGCCGTGGTGAAGTTCTGCATCGCATTTCTGATGAATGTGGAGGAGTTTTAATTTCTTTCCCTCGTGCCAATGATCCAAGTGACCAGGTCACACTCAAGGGCGCCAAGGAGTGCATTGAGGCTGCCAAAGCCCGTATTTTAGAAATCATTTCTGATTTGGTAAGTGGTCTTTTAAGGCCATTATTAATCACAGTTTAATCACAGTTTCCAAATTTAAAATTGATTAATTTTTGTCCCTCTTTCTGAAATATTGTAGGAAGCCCAGGTTTCCATTGAGTGTGTTATCCCCCAGCAACACCATAGAACTGTCTTGGGCACTCGTGGCTCAAGGGTTCACAACGTTCAAGCAGAGCACAATGTTCAGATCAAGTTTCCTGACCGTGACAACACTGCTGAGTATGTCCCTACTGCCCAACAAAACGGCATTGATGGCATTGAGGAAGGTGTCCGTGTTTGTGATGTGATCAGAATCACTGGTAAGCTTGAAAATTGTCAAGCTGCCAGCCAAGCTCTGAAGGATCTAGTTCCCATTACGGAAGAAGTGTCAGTTCCACATGAATACCATCGTGCTATAATTGGTCAGAAGGGCAAGGATGTGCGTGAGCTTATGAATAGGTTTGATGTTCGCATTTCTGTGGCGCCACCAGAACAGCAACTTGACGTTATCTCTGTAAGTTACATTTACATCATACTTACCAAAATTAGTTCTTATGTCATGCTTTGTATCCTCTCTCACTAATATAATTGTGCAGGTGATTGGTGTTCCGGCCAATGTTGCTGCTGCAAAGGAGGGTATTGAGCAGCGAATCAAGGAACTGGAAGCTCACAAGGCTGATATGGCTTTGAGGTCATTTGAAGCTAAGGTAATTTCTTTTGTGTCAATAGAGCCTAGTGAAATATGTCTGTGCATAATTTATCTATCTTATTTTATTCTTTTATCTATTAACAAGTTTTGCAACCACAGTTCATTGTTAACCCATACAATTTTCATTTTGTACCTACATAGGTTGAAATTGATGCTGTGCTCATCCCGAAGATTATTGGTCGCAAGGGTGCTGGTATTACAAAGATTCGTTCTGACCACAATGTGCAAATCAGTGTACCACAGAAGGGTGATGAAAACGAATCCACCGTCACCATTACGGGTTATGAAAAGGATGTTTATGCAGCTCAAGAGACCATCATGAAGATAGTGAATGAAATGGTTGGTCATTGCCAGACTTGTAGATTGTCTGTTTGTTTCAATCATAAAAATTACCATTTTAATGTTGCGTTCTTTTCTTATTATTCCAGAATGAACTTGCAAGGGAACCAGTTGAAGTGGATGCTCGAGTCCACTCCCGTCTCATTGGTAGTAGGGGACGTAACTTACGCAAAATGATTGAACAATTTAAGGTTGATTTCGAGTTTCCTCGGGGTTCTGACCCAGATCCTAACATTGTCACACTTGTCGGACCACCTGAAAATATTGATGAGTGCAAGGAATACCTCCTCAATTTAGTGGAAGAATATGTAAGTATTGTTCTTTTAATTTATATTAGTTACTGTAATGGATGCCTGTGTGTCTGACAACCTTGTCCAAACCTTTCAGATGCAAGATATGCTGGATGAGGAGTACCGCAACAGTTTCCTGAAGTCCACCAAGGAAGCCAAGACCCCCAAGGAAGCCAAGGGGCCCAGCGACCCGGGCTTTGTCGTCCAGGGAGCACCCTGGGAGCAGAAAGCTCCAAACATGGAGAGCAAGGAAGAGTTCCCCTCCTTTGGTGGCGCAGCTGCAGTGGGTGCAGCTGCTGCCCCAACTGTTGGAGGCTGGGGTCCCAAGAAATGGGGTGGAGACAACCTGTACCCTGTAAACAACTACCAGTAAAACTAATGGAAGTCTTGGAACACTCTGCAGGGAAATCTTTAGTGCCATTTGTTGTGTTCAGCTCATCTGAGCACAACTCCCTGCAATGCAGCTGTCAAGTCTAGTTGAGAATCTTTAAGTTCACTCTAAAGGGTGTTGTAAATAAAGAGACTGTTTTGCAATATTTAGATTCTTCAACGTAGCTTTATCTAGCTGCTCTTGAGTTAGCCACTTTCAAAAAAAGTAAAAAAAAAAGAAAACTATTTTTAAAAAATTGCCAAAAAAAATTGTTGTGGGTAATATGTTTTAGGATGAGGATAAGTCATTTTCTTATTGCAATTTCCCTCTCCCCCTCCCCTTCGAATATGGAAATGGTACATTGGTAACATACCTGGTTGCACTAACCTGGATTGTCTATCAGTGGGCCACCCCCCTGTGCGCGCATCTCTCCCCTCACTGTAAGCAGACCTGGCCTGATTAAAGGACATGAGATTGGCTCCAATTATCTGACCTATGATGTAACGGATTTTTTAAAAAACAAATGTTATTTCAGTGATGTGAAAGTAAACAGTCTTCCCAGTTTATTATGGTTGCATGTAGATAGCGGCGAGATTTTTGTGCAGTAACTCTCCTGTTTCTGTTCCAAGCGGTTTATTTCCTGTCCAGGACTGTTACTTTTCAAAAGGACAAGGAAATTTTCCTCCCTCATAAGCTTCTCCTTATGACTCTGGGAACGCCTGTAATTCCATCCGTACGTACAATAGGGAGAGAGAGATCTCCAGCCTGTGGCTGTGTTTTAATTTTCCTTGTTAAACTAGAAATATATCAAAATCAGAGTAATATGCCATTTTGGTGTTGTCTTAACTTTTTTTTTAATGGTGTGAATGTACAATTATTCTTACCAAATTTTGCAGCTTGATTTGTTTTGTATTTATGTATATGTATTGGAGAGTTTTATTTAACTTACATATATTTATCTAATTACTAAAAGTGACCCATTATTGGGACATGTGAAACAGTTTATTCTGAGACCTTGGGTGCAACCTAAGCTGCTCAGACTTTTGATTTGTACTGTACCCTGTGAATTAACAGAGCTTTTTATATGTGTAATATATATATATATAATGCATGAACTATTTTAGTGATACTCAGAGATTGAATCATGTATTTTGAAGGTATAATGATTGGTTTACCTTGCCAAAACCCAAGGTAACGTGCAAAATCTGTTACAAGAATTTTTCTGATTTCTATGACTATTTTATAAAGAAAACACAAAAAACTGAGTTTTGTCTGAGCAATTCTCATCTATTTATTTAAGGCTAGGAAGAACAAATTTGCACTGGACTTGGGGCAGGCTCAGATTGCGTTAGTGCCTTCTTAATTTGCCTGTGCCACCTTGTAATTCTAAAGTTTCAAACACTATGTTAACAAAAATGTACTTGAAAATGCTTGTTCGAGGGAGGAAGTTTGACTTGGAGTGGGTGTTTTTTTTGTGACCATGATCAAGTGGAAGTGAGCCCCAATTGATATCTTGTTTTGTTTACACAAACAATGACAGACTGAATGAAATAAAACAAAATATATATATCTATATATAATACATGGGTTGCCTTTTATTTTTTTCTATCAGATACCCATTGCAATGCCCACAGATCATCTCTGCTTTCACTTCTCTTTAACATGTTTATTTGTTGGTCCATTCTACATGGGGACACAACTGAGTACTAGTGGAGTGACACATCCGACAAGGATAACTGGATGATACTGATAATGAATGAGAGCGTGAAAGGGATAGGAAAAACATTTAGCTATGTATAATTTACTAACGGAGTACAGTTGTTACAGGACAAAATACTGTGAAATCATTAAAAATAACATAAATCTTACATTTTAAATATACTCTTTATCACAGAATTTTAACACTCATTTGCAAAATAAAATTGTCTTGTCTTATGTAGTCTATCATTTTCTAAGCATTAAGAAGAAATGACACTATGATCAAAAAATTACTTTGTACAACTTTCTATTTGAGAACATACACTCTACCTAATCTATCCAGATGTTGTCTCAAGAATGAGTTTACTCTTACAATGTTCTTCAAATAGCTTGCAACAGTGCATCAATATTATACAAAAGAGTGGTGGTCTATGATGCGTCGACAAAACAATAGCTTGAACAGCTTTAAAATCTTCAGTCCCAAACAAAGCAATATTCAGGGATACAGGATACAGTGTCATTTAGAAAGTAACCTACTTTGAATAATTTAACTAGTTGTACAGAGGGATACGTATTAAAATGATTTGAAAAGCAAAATGTATCCTCATACATTATAATAAATGCCATTGATTGAACGCTAAGTCAATATGACTTATAGACATATAGTACTATGCATATAAATAATATAGCATAATTCAATTTTTATTCAGATGTGAATTGTGATGAAATTTCATCACTGTTCATGTTTGCTTCATGTTGGCACAAAAGTATTTGCCCAGGAATTTCTGAGAAACTTTCTGAGGCAATACACGTACAATACAATCAACTGGACTGGATAATTCAGATCTATACAAAGCAGAAAAACAATGAACTCTGGAGGGACTTGAACTTACAATAGTTACTTTTCATGTCTTAATGTGCAGAGATCTTTTTACAGAAGTGATTCAAGTTTTACACTTTAATACTGCCATATTTGAAGGCAGTAGCAACTGCCAATGCTAAAAAACTCGTGGACATGACTCATATCCATAGGACGGTGAAGAATCGCCATGACAATGATAGACTTCTGAGAATGCCTTCAACTGTGATATGACCACCTGCAACCTGAAATTTATAAAATTTGTGAATTAGAAAGCTGTCTGTTAAGTTGTCTGTTAAGTTCATGAAACACATTGAATGGTTTATTAATTCTTACACTGATTCATTGCTTAAGGAAGGGCTGGTAACTTCATCTAAGTCTGCCTGCTCTGGACTTCTCTTTGCACACAAGCTCTGAAAAAATAAAAAATAAAGTCGATGAAGTATAAAAATTCCTCCAATAATCTTCACTTCCAACTTTTTAGTGCAAAGCTATAAGATCCCTACCTGTGCAAAGTTTAAGAAAAACAGTTCTTTCGGTTCCATGCTCTCCATCGCTGGTTGGTGTGTATGCTGGAGAGATTCTTCCACCCTCACAAAAGCCTAGAATAAACAAATATATTAAATTATAATTTTAAAATATCATTTTCTAAGTAACACTGGTGAAGCAAAGAACCAACCTCATAAGCCTGTTGCACAGAGGCAACCCATTGAATTGTATCCAGAGCAGTCCTGTTTGCAGTCCAGGGAAGCTCAGCCAGTTTTTTCGAAATAACAAACTTTGAAAGACATGTAGTTGCTTGGTGGGTCATAAGATGGGACTGGTTGACAGCAGGATCCAATGGACCCAAAAGACTTCCATTGGCAGCATACAAGTTGTTCCACGGTAAAGTGGCAGAAACAATTGCTCTTGCCAGATGAACGCCAATGCGGCCAAAAAGCACAGGCCTGTGGGAATTGAACAAAATCTTTTAATCAAATCAATAATTTAAAATTGTGATGTGTTGGTAGGCAATTTCATACATACAGTGGGTAAGCAGGGTCAAAGAACGGAGCGTTCAGGACACTGGGAGGGACCACAATTTTATTGGCTGTAGGAATGTATTCTACATGGAAACCGGTCACAGCATCAATCCACCTAGAGCAATGTAAATATACAAGAATTAATTTAATACAAGATAAAGACAAATAGTATCAGTCAAATCCTCATTCTACAGCAAACAATTGGTCAAAATTTATGAGGTGGAAATGGAAATACATGTATGATATTTGTTTCCCTGTACCTGTGTTCCTCAGATGGATTATTCAATCTGCGCTCCTGTTCCTCCTGAAGGTATGTAATCCCATACAAAATGTTTTGGAAAAAATCATTCTTCTGCACATTTAGATGCATGTATAAATCTTCTAAGTAGCGATCAGCTGAGAAAGGTTCTGGCAGCCCAACTTGAAGTGACAATGTTGTCAGCTGGAAAAAAAATCATAATAAGGGAAACATTAAAAAAATGTTAATGTAGAAAAAATTTAGATCAAATGGCTACACTACCTTATCCACAACATGGGTGCGCAGTTCATTTGGAGACCAGGACTCCTCAATATTCTTTTGGATTGTGGCTCGGATTTCCTCAAAAATTTCAGTGATCTGCCAAGATAACAAAATAGTTTAGGGATAGGAAAATGTCTCGCACCACAAGTTATCTCACAACATAAGTAATGAAAATTTACCACAGTTTTCACGTTGTCTGAATTGTTACTAGCTCGTTGAGAGAGTGAAGTTAAAGCAAAACCCATAAATTTCTGTAGAGTAGCAGTACACATTTCCCACCGATCGAAGGATTCCTTTATACCTGAAAGCATGTAATAGAAAGACCTTAGAAGATTGAGGTGTCAAACTACTGTAAGATAATTGTAGTAAAAATTCTTACCAGCCATCTCCTTTTGATGTAAACTGAGGATATCTCTAAAGTGTTCTGACAAATAAGGCATGTATGCACTTGCAAGCCTCCACATGAGATAGTTGTTGAGAGCACTAAAACAAAAATCAGAATTCAACATGATTAAGAAATCGGAGTCTGAAAGATCCATGAACTTACTTTTCAAAATCATACAGATCAAACAGAAACGGTTCTCACCCTCTATCTGTTGTGGAAATGATGGAAGAGATCTCACTTAAGTACATTTTAGAAGGAACAAGCAAGGCCATGCTATCGTCTATATTTCCATGAGGGAACTTGGCAAGCAGAATATCATGAAGCGGTATCTGAAAAAATAGGAAATGTCAATGTCGTGAATATGCCTGAACCGTAATTTTTAAATAATAATAAAATATTCATAGCCATACTTACAGATGGAGCTGATACTTTCAATTCTGCGAGGGTAAGGCGATGATAGGAAGCAATCGGATCAGTTTTCAGAGTACTATTCTCCGACAATATTTCTGCAATGCGCCTCTCAAAATAGAACATTTCCTCACTAAATGAAGAGGCATCTGTATTTATAGCTCCAAGAAGTTGAGCAACATCCTTCAAATAACGTTTGTAAGCCAAAACAACCTAGAGAGAGAAAATAATGTAAATATGTTTCTGTCTGTAAATTAAATTTTTTTGATTCATTAATTTAAGGGTATTTTTAACTTACTGGGCTGTTGACAGGGCGATAATAATAGGAGCGATCTGGTAGCCCCAATGCTGACGGTCCAACCTTGATGATGCTCTGGTTGGGCCGTCTCACATCAGTGACAACTGATATACCAAAGAATGGTTCCACTCCATACTTCGAGTGCAGCAGGGTCAGGACACGTTTATAGTCCCATGATAATAAACTGAATTCACGGCGAACATGCCAACCTCCTGTACACCAATTTTGTATTATTGCATTGCTTAAATTTTTTTAAGTGCAAAAGTCACTAATCACACTGCCTTACCCAGTTCACTTATAATCTTCATTAGAGGTCTTTCTCTGTCAGCTTCAACATTGTCCAAGGCCATACAAGATTCGTAAAAGTACTTCAACTTCCAGGGTACGGACTTAAAGTTGGTAGGATGATTTAGTACAGATATTAGACGTCGAGCTTTGTCTCTACCTGCAAACCAGGATTTAAAACAGAAAACATAAAGGTCATTTATTAGTCCTTTTTATTTTTATTTTCTCAAGAAACTTTAGAAATCTTATCAGATGTCACTTGAGTACATCCGCGGTTGGCGCATCCTCCTATCCATTGGCCTAGATTACAGAGCGTGACGCTAGTGCAAAACGAATCTCGTCGCTAAGGCGCAGCAGACAGACTCCCGGTGGACGGCCTCTCTCTCTCACACACACAGTCATGGGTCGAGTAGTCCCGTGTAGGCCCGAGAGAGACAGAGAGACGGCCACGACTCTCGGAATGAGTCTGCTGGCCTGGTCCTCACTGGTCCTCACCCTGGGCCCTCTGCTGCTCCTGCTCGTCCCAGCGGCCCGCCGAGGCCGGCAGCGGCGTGCTGTCCAGCCAGCCGCCACACGAGAAGTTCCAGAAGTCGGTGCAGCGGTCCATGGTGGGGTTCATGCGGGGCAGCATCTGCAACAAGAAGCACGTCGCCGTTGAGTCGGGCGGGGCGGGGCGGGGCGGGGCGGGGCGGGGCGGGGCGGGGCGCGGCATCGGCAGCGACAGAGAGGCGTTGGAGCAGAAAACGGCCGATTTATTATTATCGAGTGCGCTGTGCGCTGGCATGCTGGCCGCGAATCCGCGCAACGCACAACGCGCACGCATCGGGATCGGGCGGGGCTGGCGAGCCGCGAGAGTCGCGAGGCCACCCAGTGGCGCGGCCGGCGCGGCCAGCTGGCCCGCGCTCCGCCTGCAGTGTGGCGCAGTGTGGTGCAGTGCAGCGAGCAGCCGAGAAGGGAAGTCCCAGGCGCGGCGCCATGGCGGCGCGGGGAGAGGCGACCAGGCGACGCGATGAGATCACACGCAGCGCGGCAGCAGCCCGGCCAGCAGACTGATTCCGACTCGGATTCCGAGAGTCGCTTTCGTAGCTCTGTCCCTCTCGTACTCGTGGGGCGTCCCGATTAGGTGCGAGAGAGACAGCGGTGAAGACGACTCTCGGCATCGGTCTACAGCTGCAGCGGCACTGCTACCACACCACCGCACCACGGCGGCCGCGCCCTGTACACGCGGCCAAGCACGCCGCCTTCTTCCGAGGCTCCAGAGCTGGCGGTGCTCGAGTCGAGCCGCTCACGTGACGCAATCGGGTGCCCCGGGACGATGAGGACGAGGGCGAGGCGCGACTGCGCGACGGTCCACCCACAGGCCTTCCTTCGCGACCCTATGGAGCGGAACAGACACTGCGGAAGGGTGTTGCTGTGTAGCGCGGCAGCAGCGGGGCGCTGGGCGCGGCCCCGACTCGGGCCCCGACTCGGGCCCCGACGGCGGCATCCTGAGTGGGGCCACGCAGGGCCGAAGCCCGTCAAGTCGTGTCGAGAGAAACAAAGTGGCGCGGGCCGCAGAAGTCGCTGGTACTCGAACCCGCGCGACAACAGTGGCGTTGGTACACTGTTGCATGTGCGAGGAGAGTTGTAAAGAAGCGGCCGACTGGCCTCGACCTTCAGCCTTGACGACCTTGACCATCCGCGCGCCGCCGGTCCGCCAGCCGTTCGGACGCGTTGGACGCATCGCTGCAGCTGCAGTGAGCAGTGCGGAGGCGTACCAGGCGTACCCCCTCTCCCCTCCCCCTCTTTGCCCGGCTTCCGGTAATCAGCCGCAACGCCGGCAGGTAGGCAACACAGGCCTGCTCAGCATCACACTACGATCACACCAGCCGAGCGCGGAGCGGCGGAGCACAGCCAGACCATTGATCCAGCATCCCGCACCCGGCTTGGACAAAGTCTAGGACAAAGCAGCGCTTGTCTGGCAGGGGCACCGTCTGGCCGCGGCCGCCCTGCTGCAGCAGCAGTAATGCCTCTCGAACTATACACCGCGCTGAAGGGGTGACGGGGTGACGGCGCGCTAGAGGTACTTGGCTTCGAGGGGGAGCTGCTGGCCACAGCACTCGGAACCCGTTCCCTTGGCTAATCTCCACCACACATCTGCAGTGCTTCGTCGCCCTCTCTCTCGCCCCGATGGAGCGCCCCGTGAGTGCGAGAGAGACAGAGCGACGAGGACTCTGTTCGGCGGCCGCAAGGAAGAAAGTCCTCGGTCCTCGCGACGCGACGCACTGCTCCCAGCTCCCCTCCGCGGGGGACGACGGAGGGCAGGGCGGCACGCCGCGGCACGCCATCGCGCTCTCGCTCTCGAGACGTCCTGCTTCGGGAACCACGCCACTTCCTCATCAGGAAGAACGAACAGGATGCACTAGCCGCCTGCCTAGCCTAGCCTAGCCGCCCCGACTCGACTCGACCCACCCCGACGACGAGCTGGACCAGCCGGAGCCTTGGCGGCCCGGTTGGGGCGTCCGTCATGTGTGATGCCACCACGACCACGGAGACGCCGCGGATGTGGGGCGCGGGGAGTGAGAGAGACGGACGGAGGACGATGGACGCGAGGCGTGAACAAACATGCTCGTCCGGCTGGGCTGTGCAGGCTGGGCAGGCTGCGGCGTGTACAGTGTACGTAAACAGGCGCGAACTGCACGCCGAGATGGCCGATGGGTGCGGGACGCGCCCGCTAAACCGCGCTAAACCCGTCCCGTCCGACGTGTGTGTCCGCAGTCCGCCCCGCCGCCGCGTCCATCGGCACGTCCGCGTCAGTGACGCGTCGCTGATGGGCCCAAAGAGTCCGCGGCCTCCGCGTTACTTCCCCTCCAATGACTGCGAGGGGTGCGAGCCGTGCGGTGCCGGCGGGGCCGCGCTGACGCACTCATGCGAGTGGGGCCGCAGGGCGGGGCGGCGATCATCGTCCAAGTCGTCGAACCGTGTGCGCCTGGCCCGCCTGGCCGCGCCGCGGAGCACGCGGAGCACGGCGACGACGCCCCCCGCGCCGTTCCTTGCTTCTCACGGCTGGCGCGCCGTCTCCGGTCGCGCTGCCCTGCCCGCCTGCTCGTCTTCTGCGTCTCTGCATCGGATCCGCTGGACCCTGCCGCGCGAAAACGCCGTGTTTGTGAAACCTCGTGAAACGCCATCCCCCTGAGGCCCGGCAGCACACCACAAAAGCACAGCTCCCTCCGGCGTAGACGATGTCCTTCTTGTTCTTCTTGCTCTCTGTGCATGCATGCATGCATGCATGCTGCAGCAGGCCGCCAAGTACACAAAGCAGTGCCACCGATGATGCTGCGCGCACCCATCCGAAGCCCCCCCCCCTTTCCCCCTTCTGCTCCTCCCTTGTGATTGCCCCGCTTTTCTTTTGAACGATCCCATATTCACATGTGTAGCGCCCTCCCCCTTTTCCCCCTTTTCGACTCGGAGACGTCTTCCACAGCTGGGTCCAGCTGTTGGCTGCTCCCTCCGTCTCCCTCGTCGAGCCTTCGTCGGCGCCGTGGCCAGGCCGTGGCTGCCGTGGCCGTGGAGGCGAGGCGTCCACTCTGGTGGCCTAATTCCCGATTCCCCATGCCATTCCCCCATTCCCAATCCCTGCGGGGCGATTCACGACCGGGAGGCCTAAATAAATCACAAAGGCCTCTGTCTGTCTCCGTCGCTCCGCGCCACTGCAAGCGCAGCAAGCGCAGCACGGCAGCGCGCTGAGCCAGATTCCTCCTCAAAGCGGCGAAGCCCTTCCCATCCACGCATCGCGGCGCCGCCATCGTCGCGGCGTCGCGGCCGCGGAGGGGCATGTGTGAATCGACACAACGGCGACACAGCGGGGCTGTGCTGTATCGAGTGACGCGCCGCGCAGCCGCGCCCGGCCGAGCCTTGGCGCCTTGGCCCCGGGGGGAGAGCCACCCGACGCCGCGGGTCCGCCGCGGAGAGCATTCCGAAGCAGCAGCACAGAAGGGTGCCCTGGAAAACGACACCGGAACTAACCTAACCTGAGAGTGCGCGGGCTTTCCTCCTGGCGGGCTTCACTGGGACAACAGTGCAGTGACTGGCCTTGGCCGTCGAACGCGAGGACGGCCAGCAGACTGATTCGGAGTGCGTCGCTCGGTCCCTCTCGCACCCATGGCGGCGTCCCGCATAGGTGCGAGAGAGACAGAGCGACGCAAACGACCCTCGGAATCAGTCTGCAGGACCAGGCAGGACGCCAGGACTTCCGGCGATAACGGAAACGCATGGCAGTCGCGAGGTCGCAGGCAGGCCGCCGCAGGGAGTCCTGCGAGTCCACGAGGACGTCGTGGCCCTCGTCGTGGCCGCGGTGGAAAGCATTCCGCGGCGTGCTCCACGAAAATAACCGCGGACCGCACCGCCACGCCGCCGTCGCCACCCACACCGCGCCCATCCCTTTGATCCAGCCAGCCTTCTGGATCACTAGCTCCAGCGGGGATTGTCCAGGTGGCTGGACACGGCGAGCAAGGGCTTCCACGCGGGTGGGCGCTGGCTAAACATAGACACCGCGGTCGAATCCACGAGTAGTACAGCGCCGAGGACTTCGCGGTGTCGAAGGGGCTGTCCGAGGCGGTGGCGTAACCGGTAAGGCGCGCACGCACCCCGGGGCCGTACCGTCAGGCGTATGCACCGGGTGCTTGCGCAACGAGCAGGTGACGCCGCACAGCTGTACACGTGCGTCGTGCATCCCCCAGACCGCTAGGCTGGGCAGGCAGTCCAGCCCTGGCAGCGCACGCCGCGTCCGTGTCGTCCGTGTCCCGGGCGTCACCGAAGCCGTAGGCCGATCGCCGTGCGCCGTGCGTGCGTTCCCGCAGCGGGTTGACTCCGAACGTCGCCTTGTCGCTCTTTCACCCCTACGGAACGCAACGCCCCACGGCCCCACGCGTGCGAGAGAGAGGAGAGGGCACTGTTCGGAATCAGCCTGCAGATATAGGCCCCTGCCAGCCGGCCGGACCGGCCCGGTGGGTCGGCCTGCCATGTGCCGCGTCAGCGCGGTGCAAGTAGGGCGCTGGCGGCGGTTCGCGGCGGTCAGTGCACCAGCACGAGGACGCCAGTACGCCGGGGAGCTGCAGCAGGAGGTTTCCGTGCAGCGTGGCTGCGGCCAGGGTTCAATCTAGGGGGTCCATCATTGGCGGCGCTGATCCCGGCCGGCAGAGCCAACCGCACCTCGCCGCCGACCCGCCGACCCGCCGACCGCAAGGCAAGCTTCAAGGCGCCGCCACCGTTCCAGGGCGGCGGCGGCGCACAGTGGGCCAGAAGACCCCGATGTCGTGGCGGCGCCGCCGCCGCCACCGGGCGCTCTCTCGCACCTCCATGGCAGAGACAGAGAAAGAGCCGGCAGCCAGTCGCCACCTGACAGCGGCGTGCGCGCACTCGGTGAGCACGCGCGTGCGTGGGCACGTTCGTAAAAGGAGCGGCGGCGTTTCGAATTTCTAATCATACCGTCCCGTCGATCATCGAAAGTGCGCGCGCAAACTGCAGCAATGCAAATCGCAGAACATTGCGATCACGACGCGATTTCAGTCCCGCTGCAAGACGACACCACGATTTGGTGAGCGAAGCCAAAACACATTTGTCGGGGGAGGCTGGCTATAGCCATCGGATAAA